GGTCTGCAACGATGCCACTCAGCACCCCCACAGGTCAGTAGGAGGAGCCTGTGAGTCCTCCCCTCATCCAGATTCTCTGGCCTGCCTTTGACCTATTCTTTCCTCCTCCTCAGGGTTCTCTGGGGGATAAACTCCCCTGGACTCAGCTATGGCGAGCATATGGGTGTAACTCCATGAGCAACGCAATCTGTGCCTCAAGGGTCAAGCTGCAGCATCTGCCCTCCCAGGTGGGTGGGAAAAGACCTGAGGTGCAATGAGATAGGGAAGGATACAGGAACAGGTAAGGCTGGACTCCAGGTGCCCAACCCCACTCAATCCTTTGACCCCTTACAGGAGCAGTGGGACCGACTTCTGGTACTATACCCAGCATCCCTGGTCATCTTCTCTGAGGAGCCAGAAGGCCTTAGCTTTAAGGTTGGCCCTTTCCACATATACTTGTCCAGGAAGATGCCCTTTCTGGGGTGGGGGGCGGAGACTCAGAAACCTGTATTTCAGGGCCTGTTGGGACAGAGCACAGGGTTCCACCTATCTGGCCCCACTGCCCTGGTCAGTCTTGTCTCTGCTCTGGCACAGAGGAGTCTCCACCCTCTAAATCCCATCTCATCCTTCAGGGACATCCTTAATCCTGGAGTGGGTGGCATGGAACAAGCTACTTCTCGGAATCCCTGGTGCATGTTCCCCCTTGTCTCTGAGCATCTTCCATGCATTGTGGGGACAGGGCAAGCATGCACATGTGCCTAAAGCATGACACTAGTCACTGAAAAACACACCAAGGGGGCTTCCCTCACAGAGACTAATCCCTATTAGCATCTGCCTACAACTGGCATCAGCTGGTGAAGATCCAACAGGAGGTAGAGTGGAGATGTTCCAGAACAAACAAAGCTACCTGGCCTTTCTCTGAGTGTCATCCTCAGGGATAGGTGGCCTGAGTTTCCAGCCCAGCTCTGGAGAGCAGGATGGAAGGATAGGGCCAGGAAGAGGCTGAGATGACCCAGATAAATACCTAGTCCTTACTCTACAGGGGGAGCTTCCACTAAGTGCCATCCACATCAATTTAGAAGAGAAGGAAAAGGAGATCCGCTCCTTTCTCATCGAAGGTAGGGTCCTACCTAGAATCTACCCACTGCTTGACCAGGCTTCTGGGAAGGGTATGAGTTTGGTGGATGCTTCAACTCTTTGCTCTGTGGGGTGAAAAATGTACCTGTCTGTCAAACCTTAGTTTACATATCTGTGTGCTAGGCCGCCTCATCAACACCATCCGTGTGGTATGTGCCAGTTATGAGGATTACAGTCAATGGCTGCTGTGCCTCAGGACTGTCTCTCACGGGGATGGGGCCCACCTGCTGCCTGGCTCAGAGAGTTTCCCAGGATTACAGAGACCCACACAGGTGAGGAGTCAGTGAGGTCCCTGTAACTCAGGTTGTGGCAGTAGTACAAACTAGGGAGCAGAAAGGTAGGTCCAGGCAGGGATAGAAAAGGAGTCAGATCCAGCCACTCACCTTACCTCTGCTACTTAGGTTGTAGGTAGAGGCCGAGGTTCACTCTCTTCCAATGGACGAACCAGCTGGAAATTAGAGTGTCCAGTGTTCCCCACCAGCCAATCCCTCCCTGAGTCCTCAGTGCCAACCACTATAGGCTTCCCTGCCCATCTTGTACCTGTAAGTACCTAAAGGAATGACATGGGAAGGGGATAAAAAAACAAAACAGGACTTCTATCTTCTGGGAAGCCTAGATCCCATTGTCCCATAGTGGTGATTACTGGACCATAGTTAGGGAGGGCACATGAACTGAAGGGACCTCCATACAGCCTCTTAGAAGAGTCTATGGGAAAGAAGCCCTGGAGATCTTTCTGAGTTGTTCTTGGTTTCCACAGAACCAGGCCAACTCTAACTGTGTCAGCACTGGCCAAAAGAAGACAGAGCTGAGGCACAGTGGCAGTAGCCAGTCTCCCAGGGGCAAAGCTCAAAGAGAAGTATCTGGCTCAACTGTCCCACTGCCCCTGCATCTGGACTTGACCAAGGTAAGCCCACCACATACCCTGACCCCAGGCCATTTTCCCTCCTGGTTCTACTTCCTTACTTGTCTAGATGATCCTAGAACTCAGAGACCTCGTAGTCTAAGGACAGAAGGTTCTCAATGTATCTAACTGAGGTAACCCATGTATTCCCTTCTTCTTGTAGATGAGTGTACTGAACCTAGATAGTGGCCCAGAGGCTCAGGATCAATCTTTGGACATTCCACATTCCCCACTCTATGCTGATCCTTACACACCACCGGCTACATCTCACCGCAAGATTACAGACATCCAAGGCCTGGATGAGGTCAGTGCTCTACTAGGTGGCAGGACTGGATATGCTGCAGTGAGATCAGGAGATGTCAGAAACCTGAAGACTATGAAGGGAGGATGTTTCTGGGCAAGGGATCTCTAGGCTTCACAGTGGTCCCAGACCAGGGCTTCAGGTAACCCTCATTTTCCCAGCAGTTCCTCTGTGCGATACAGACATCACCTGGACCTGAGCTATCAAGCCCATTCCCCTCAGTCTCTGTGTCTGTGCCTGTCTCTGACTCCAGCTCTGGAATCTCCAGCTCCCCTGGGACTCTGGGCTCCCACTTGCTCTCCAAGAAAGGTGCTCTGCAGTCCAGAGCTTCCCAGAGACACCGGGGTTCCATCAAGAGCAGGGGCCCACAGCCTTCAGACTTCTCTCAGCTTGTAAGTCACATTCTCTACTCTGGTGTGGAGGCCCAGGGATCAGGAAATATTGGGTAGAGGGTTCTAGGACTCCAAGGAGAAAAACAAGAGAATATGGGGCAGAGAGAAACCATGGACAGAGACAGTGTGGTAGGACAGGAAGCTGGAGGGTGAGGAGAAGAAAGTGGCAAGGGATTGGCAGATCGGGTGGGCTGATCTGTGCTAGTTTTAAGACTTGTATTTTGGGGCTTCCAGGTCACCCCTGCCAGAGAAGGTACACCCAGTTCCCTGTCACCTCCCCCAGGTGAGTGAGGGTCTTCTCTCCTAAGGGGAAAGGGGTGCTACTTCTTAAAGGCTGATGCCTGAGTTGTCTCTGACATCCCTACTAGATGAAGAGGCTCCTATCTGGAACAAGACTTCCTCTCCCTCCCACCAGAAGTGGTCACAGCCCAGGAAGCCTGCAGTGGAGGGGGGATTCATCCAGTGGATCTGATGGCCCCCAAGTGGGCTGCTTCTTCTCAAAAACACAACCAGCCAGCACCAACCTGGATAAGAGTATGCAGTTATACCAGTCCTTTGACTTACATTAAATTCACCAGGGCCTGACCCCACCAGGTTAAGGGTATTGCTAGAATTCTGAGGGTAGAATCACCTCTCACCAGGCTCTAGCAGCTCAGCTTTACCAGTTAGAGCAACTGAAAGGAGGTAATTCTAGGAACAAACCAGTGAGGGACAGCAATAAGATTCTGGACAACCCCAGAGGCTATACCTCTAGGAGAAATGGGTGAGGGTGCTAGAGCAGGTCTTTACTTAGAAGTGGGGAGCAGCATGAATGTGAAGTACAGGGTGCTAAAAAAGTCAGGTTGTCAAACTCAACCTGTGAAGTCAGAGATCAGTAGGGTGAGAGTTATTACAAGAAGCAAAGGAGTATAGGAAGATCCAGTACTGTTGGGCACATAGGGTAAGGTTGGTCAGAAAGATTCACACCATAAACAAGAAAGATTTTATTGGTGCTATGTCCCTGTGTTTCCCTCTGAGCAGAGTAATCTACCATCCTAAGGACCTTTATCTGCTGTCTTGGGTAGAACCCTACCCAGAACTGGCTATCACTTGTCACCTCAGTCCCTTCACCTACCTTCCCACTCTACAACTTCTCTCAGCCTTGGCCTCATTCAAGCTCCCTTTAGTATCAGGAGACAGTCCTTCCATAAGATGCTATCAAATTCTATGTATATCCTATCTGGGGCTCTTGGAGAAGATCCAACACTGCCCCATAGATCCTACATTGCAGGGGCCTCAGAAACCACCCCTGGAGGTACACTCTAGAACAATGGTTTTCAACCTGTGGCTCACAACCCCCTTGGTTAACCTCTAGCTCCAAAAATATTTACATAGCCGGGCGGTGGTGGCGCACGCCTTTAATCCCAGCACTTGGGAGGCAGAGGCAGGTGGATTTCTGAGTTCAAGAGTTCGAGGCTAGCCTGATCTACAGAGTGAGTTCCAGGACAGCCAGGGCTACACAGAGAAACCCTGTCTCGAAAAAAAAATTTACATTATGATTCATAGCAGTAGCAAATTTTCAGTTATGAAGTTGCAATGAAAATAATTTTATGGTTGGGAATTACTACAACAGGAGAGGCTCTATTAAAGGGTTGCAGCATTACGAAGGTTGAGAACAACTGCCCTAGAACCTATTCACTGACTTGGGTCAGGCCTACACAAGCTGTGGCTCAGGAATCAGGGCCTTGGAGGCCCTAGCCAGCCAAGCTTGCCTTTCAATAAGGCAGAGTTCTTAGACTGCCTCCCTCTAGCCTTGAAGGCACTTAGTAGCTTCATCTTGGCCTAGACATATCCAGAGGGGCCTTGTTGCTTTGACACTTACTGTAGAGTCCTCTTCTGCTGCTTATTTTTGTTTATGACCAGACAAAAGGCAGGGTGCCAAGTTAGGTTTCAGATAACAAATAATTTCTTCTTCATATAAGTACATTTCAGGAATTTCATGTAAATTCAAATTTAGCTAAGTGCACTGTAGATTTCCTTGCAAATCTGATATCCTATTACCCAGCTCCTTGCTTAGTGCCCACTTACCCACAACCCTGAATCTCTACCCTCTCAGGTATGAAAAATGGTCTTGGCCTTCATCAGTGGCTGGACCCTTAGGTTGAGTCTAAGTAAATCAGTACCAAGGACACTGGCTCCTTCCTAGATGCCTTAGAAGACAGGGATCAAAGAGTGGAGAGAAGAGCAACATCTTGTCCTTGTCACCTGGGTTCATCTTCATGCTCCATGCCTCACTGGGCCAGCCTGGTTCCTAGCAGCTGGGGTTTGAGCTGGAACTGGGTCTTGGTCTGTCACTATGCCCTCTCCCAACTTGACGGCGGAAGTAGCGAATAGCAGAGATGGTGCCAATGTTGGCCAGCAAGACTGTAAGAGAAGCAGAAGATATCTTGAGTGTCAACTCTGGCTTTTTCACTGCCTTCTGCCTGCATTACCCAGTCTTCAAAGGACAGTGTGTTGGAGCTATGTTAGCAATGACAAAAGCAAGGTCAAAGAGAGCTTGAACCTCCCATGCACCCTTCATCCCTGCTGGCCCAGCAGATGAGGTAAACAACTATAGCCCCTAGGTCTTCTAGGCATAGCACCCTTATCCCAGGACCTCCAAACCTGTTTTCCAGGCATCTGGGGCATGTAGATCTGAGGTTCTTACAGCCCAAGTGGCAAAGGCAACAAACACCAGGCACATGTCATTTTGGCTGAATGTAAATGAAGTAAGGGGACTCCGTAGTTCCCCTAAGAAAGAAAAGTCCATTAGATGCTCCTCTCTGAGACAAGCCTGCCATAGAATACCACCTGTCCTAGACAAATCTTTTGAGTCAGATCTTCCCCATGACTTCTCTTATTTAAGACACTGGATAGCATGTGATAGTTGAGTCAGAACAATTTGGGAGATTTGCATTTTGGGTCTTCAGTTCTCTGGTCTGTGACATGGTTTACAGAGGAGAAAGGAGATGAAAGGAGATATTTTTCTCATATTGTCTCAAGCAGCATGGCCTGAGTATGAATGGGCCTCTAGTGCCAGCCCCCTAAAAGCTAGAAGAAGCCAGGCAGTGGTGGCGCATGCCTTTAATCCCAGCACTTGGGAGGCAGAAACAGGCAGATTTCTGAGTTCGAGGCCAGCCTGGTCTACAGAGTGAGTTCCAGGACAGCCAGAGATATACAGAGAAACCCTGTCTCAAAAACCCAAAAATCAATCAATCAATAAATAAATAGCTAGAAGAAAGTCCCTGGTGGCGCCTAGGACTAGATTTAGGACGGTGGTCAGTGACAAGGCTAAAACCCTGAAGTGTCTGGCCTGAGCTGCCCTGTCTTAAATGTTTCCTGGGGTAGCCTAGGAGATTACCCTTCCTTTATGTAGATCCTAGAACATGAAAGAGCACACATAAATACAAGCAGATGATCATTTCCTGCCCCTCTACCATACCCTCTTACCCTAGCTCCCTGGACAATAAGTTTCAAGGACCCAGATGGGGCTGGGACCTGATAAACACCTACCTGCCTTCTTGATTGTTAAGCTAAGATGTTCTGCTGTAGGTGGAACAGGCTTGGAGGATGCCTCAGGCCCTACTTCCCTGGAAAACTCTGAGGTATGCATCTGGATGTGAGTGGCTGGTGGCTCTCTGTTCCCAAATCCTTCCTCAGTGAAGAAGTGTTCATAGGCCTCAGGGATGGAGATAGGCATTAAATCTCCAGGGGGAACAGGTGCCACATTGTCTGCTCTTGGTGGTGAGACTGAGGAGTGTCCCCTCTGACATCTTGATCTTTGGGCTCTGCTATCCCGAAAAAAAAACTCGCATGTGTCAGGCCATTGGATTTCATCCAGGGCTTGGCTGGCTGTCTCTTCATCCTCTACATCTTCATCTTCCTCCTCAATGGTGTCACAGAAGAAGAACTCGTAGGCCTCAGGGAGAGTCACAGCAAAGCAGTTTCCAGGCTCAGCCTCTACTGATACAGAGGATATAGGAGGAGGCAGGTGCTTGAGGATCCGAGGCTGAGGGAGTCGGGGCCCAACAGCCACAGCATCCCAGGCTGCAGACCCGCCACGGCTTCCTGCTGCTGTCCTGGGAGCTGGGGGCCAGTCTGGGCTTAGGAAGGATGAACCTGTAGGCTTGTCTGACCCTGATTCTTCATGGCTGGGTATAGCCATGGAAAATCGTACTTTCTTCTTCTTGAGGGCGTGGACAGGACCTAGGCAGGGCTCTCCTGAGGAGTATCCTGGGGACCCTGCTGAGAACTGCCCTACTGGCGCCTCAGTGTTTCCCCTTAGAGGCACAGCCATGCCTGTATCCACCGTGGCAGCTTCAGCCTGGGAAATAGGGTATGAAGAAGGCATAACAGGTATAGACACACTCTCTTTAGACTCAGTCTTTGAAGCAGAATGAGGCAAATCTATACAAAGCACATCCACTGAGGCAGGCATAGAGGGAGAAATTTCTGGCTTGATCTCTGAGCCTGTTGCAGATAGATCCACATGCAATCCAGGTGTGCAAGCAGATGCAAGCTCAGCCTTGTCCAGTTGAGACATAGAGGCAGGTGTAGACAAAGCCATGTCAGGCTCAGAGGGAGGTGTAGACTGATTTGTATTGGGTTGACATTTGAAGGCAAGTGTGGACAAAGTCATGTCAGGCGTGAAGGGGTGTGTAGATGAAGCTATGTCAGACTGAGGCTTGGAGGCAGGTTTAGACAAAGCCATGTAGGGTTGAGGCTTAGAGGCATGTGTAGACATATTTGGTGTGGCTATGGAGATATCTGGATGAACTTCCTGGACAGGTTTGGATACCACATGTAACCCAGCTCTGGATGTCTTTCTGATCTGGTCTGTATCTTGTTCAGTTATCAGAATAGGTGTAGAAAGATCCAAGCCTGAATCCTGTCTGGCCGTTTGTTCAGGAATACTAGAGCCATGTTCAGGAGCACTTGTGGAGTCCGACTGTGGCTTATCCTGCTGGACTTTTGCCATTAGTGTCCCAGACATAAGAACCTCCTTGGGCCTGGTCTCTGTAAGTTGTGGGGAGCTCATCTGGATACCAGCAGAGTCCAAAGATCCAGAGTACTTGGTCCCCTTGGCACCTCCAGCACGCCTCTTCTTACGACCAGGGTTCCGCAGTGAAGCTTCAAGGCTGTCAGGGGGACTCTGAGGGATGGCACTGTGGCCAGGGGACTCAGGACTATGAGGGGGCTTACCGGAAGAGCTAGGGGCAGGGCCTTGCAAAAGCCTCTGCATCTTGTCTCTGAAAGTTGCTGACTCTGGGAAGGATAAGGCCTGGCCAGGACAGACACTGTCTGAGCTGGGGAACAGAAGGGCTTCTGAATGTGTGGACGTGCTGGCTACCTGATGACTGACCTCCAGAGCCAGGACAGGCTCACACTGAGACCTGCTGACCAGCTGCTGAGCAGCCACGTTCTCCAACTCACAGCCCTGTTGTCCCCTCCCTTGGGAAACCAGCTGCCCAGTGAAGAGGGGTGGAGGCCCAGGGGGGCTGCTTCCACTGCTGTCCCCTTGATCAATGTCACTGGACAAGAGCTCGTCACCAGAGGCCAGGTCAGCCTGCAAGAGGCCACACTCATCAGCAGTGGCTGAGAACTCGGCCCATTCTCGATCACTGAGCTGGACACTGTACTGGAAGTTGTCCATTGCACATCAGCAGAGGTGCTGGAGTGACAGCAAGACTTTGGGCCAGGCAGGGTCTTCACAAATCCAGGCTCCATGCACTAAGTAGCACACACTGCCACCATCCTGCCTGACCTTGTAGCGCCTGCCCCCTCTGGCAGTCCATTTCTATCTAGAAGAACCACAGGACAGACTTTGTTTCTTCCAGATTCTTCTCCTTCATTCTTCTGAGTTAAAAATCTACTTCCATTTCCCCTACTTTCAATTCAACTCCAAATAACTGTACTGTGATACACTATCACAGTCCTAAAATGAAATATGATTTCATATTAGTGAAGTAAATTAAAGACCAGTGTTAGTCATGTTTATATGGTGTTCCCTCACATCTCTGAGATTTTTCAATGGGACTAATTTACCTTCTCCAACTCTGTACACAATGTTCTGCATCAAAGACCACCCATCAGAGATCAGTTCTCTATGACAATCATTCCTAGCCTCCCCAGCTACCACCACAGGCAGCTAGCCACAGAAGAGAATCTATAGTATCCAACAGGTGACTAGCCTTCTGGATGATGACCTTCCATCAGCCTTGGCTGGAACAAGTTTTCTGAGCTTACCAAGGTCATGTTGATACTGGCTAGAGCCTACTCAAAAGTTTGTGAGAGGAACCTAGGCCAGAGGTCACAGGACTTAAATAACCCCCCCGCCCCGAACCCCAGCAACTCACTCTGGCTGTCCTCAGGGTCTGTACTCCCATCTATTCCTGCCCTGCTATCAAATGCCCCATTTTGCCCTATCTGAGTCAACCAAGATGATTGGAGCTAGCCAAGGCCTCCAGTCTCTGACACCCCCCCCCCCCCACAAAGGGGCCATGGCCAGCTATATCTTGAATGAGGAGAGTAGGAGGTCACTATGACTGGAACAATCCTGAGTGAGAAAAACCACTGGGGGCTTCCTACCTATCAGACTTTCTGTCCTCTCTAATCTGCTGGAGAGGCCATGGTAAAACTTTCCTGCCATTAGGACCCCCTAGACAGAAGAAAGGGGCTAAGTGTATCTTACCTGGTTCTCAGCAGCCAGCTAGGGCTATGGAGCTATCATCTAGAGGCCTGTCCCCAAGCAGCTAGGTGCTAGACTTCTTAATGCAAGCTCCGCCCTTACTTCCAAAAATATCCTGTCCCTGGGATCACTTATGACTCGTGCCAGTCTCAGAGCCAAGCCACAAATAGATGGCATTTGAGGGGACTCCAACAATATGAAGGACATTTTCCTGGTATGGGGCCAGCACTGGGGGTTGGCATTAGCTAAGGTCACATTAGATTCCAACTAGAGAAGACTGCCCTATGATTAGTATTAAGCAGGTCTCCCTTCCCAAGAAGAAGGAGACCTGTGCTTCCAGCTCATTATGAAACTTCAGTCCCACCCCATCTACCACCTAAATGTCTCTAGCCCAACCTTGCAGACTACATTGTTGACCTATATCTGACATCCAGGGCTCATGGAGCCTCCTGGCCATTGCTAAATCTGCCAGTGCTACTAGAAGAAAGTGGGTGCATTTACTGTTCTTGTGAAGGGCTCTCTAGATAGGTATTAACCCTGGGCCTCAAAAACAGGCTTGAGCAAGGTCAATGGGACAAAGTATAGTCTGCTGTGGGAAAAGTGTATTTGTTGGATAGTCCTAAGACAGAGTGGCCACTCTACCTCAAGAAGACATGGGCAAAGCAACCAGCATCTATGCTGAGCTCCTTGCTAGGTCCCTGAGCATCTTTTTAAGACAGGCACTAAGAGACTCTTCTTTCTAAAGGGCATGAGACACAGAGAAGGTAATTTCCACGCAGTCAACACAGAGCAGGGTCCTTAAGTTCTGCTTATTTGTTTACTTAATACTTCCCAGGCTGACCTCAAACTTGCTTTGTAGTTAGGCGGGCATCAAATTTACAGTTCTTTTATGTCAGCCTCCAAAGTTCTAGGATTACAGGCATGTGCCAGTATTCCTGGATACTGCTTATCCCCTCAAAGACAAATTGTTCTAAGCTGGACATGGTGGCTCACACCTTTAATCTTAGCACTAGGGAGGTAAAGACAGGAGACTCTCTTCTGTGGTTTCTGTGGGTTTGAGGCAAGCCTGGTCTACATAGCAAGCTTCAGGACAGTCAGAACCACATAAAAAAACAACCCCCCCTCCCACCTCTCTGTCACGCACACACACACACAACACTATTGCTCTAGACTTGGTTGTATATGTCAGTAATCCCACTTAGGAGGTAAAACCAGAAAGATCAGGAAGCTAAAGACATCCTCAACTATGTTATGTACTAACTTCAAGGCCAACTTGAGCTACATAAGATTCTATCTAAAAAAAGGGGGGGAGTGTAGATTTCTTTGCCTGCTTCAAAACTCATGAAAATAATCTTGTTTTACTCTCCCAACCTACTGGTATTAGTGGGTCACAGAACATTGGTTTGTTCCCATTTTGGTCTAGGACACCCACTTTATCATAGCTTAGGAGAGGCACACATGTGGATCTATGTCCAGGAAAATGGCAGCCAAGCATTTTATGGACTTTATGAAATAAACCAACTAAGACTAAGTGGGGGTGATTCGGTCCTTCTTAGAAGGAACAACAAAATACTCAAGGGAGGAAATATGGAGACAAAGTGAGGGACAGAAACTGAAGGAGGGGCCGTCTGAAGACCAATCCACCTGAGTATCTATCCCATATGCAGTCACCAAAGGTAGATGCTGATCTGGAAATCAGGAAGTGCATGCTGATAAGAGCCTGATATGGATGTCTCCTCAGATGTCTTCAAGAGTCTGACATATTCAGAGGCAGATGCTCACAACTAGCCATTGAACTGACAATGGGGTTCTCAATGGAGGAGTTAGAGTGAAGACTGAAGGAGCTGAAAGGATTTGCGGCACCATGAGGAGAGCAACAATACCAACCAACCACAGCTCCCAGGGTCTAAACCACCAGCCTGGGAGCACTTAGGGAGGGATCCAGGGCTTTAGCTGAATATGTAAGAGTGGAGGGCCCTGCTGGGCATAGGTGGAAGAAGAGAACCTTGACCTCATTAAGGCTGGACGCCCCAGGGGGTGGGAATTTTGAGGGTGGGGAGGTGGGAGTGGGGGGGTAGATAAGAGGCTACATCCACAGAGAAGAAGGAGGAGGGGTGAGGGGATAGGGGGTTCCTGGGTGGGTAGGGAATGGGGTAAGGGGACAACATATGAAATGTAAATAAAACATCCAATAAAAAAAAAAGGAAAAAAAATGAAATAAACCAACTCTGGAAGTCTGGGTCAGAGTGGAGGATGATATGATCTGACACTGACTTTTAAACAGATGCTTTGGCCTTTCCAGTTAAGAATATAGGGTCAACAAGAGGGAAGTGGGGGTAGTAGGAATAGGATAGAAAAGGGTCTTACTGTGGGGCCAGGAGAGAAAGCTTTGCTGAAATAAGCTTACACGAGTTGGCTCTGCCTTCAAAAAGAAGCCCTTTCTTCCACTCACACCTCAACCCGGAACCTTCCCAGTGAGGGTTGAGAGCAGATGTTTGTCCAGGGGAAAAGATCTGTAACTATTCTCAGTCTAGGCAGGAAGATGACATGTTCATAGTACAGATAATTGTAGAAGCCACAATTGTAGATAGTGACAGCAGCCTGGTCAGTAGGTACAGCAGATGAGTTGGCAAAAGGAAGGATGGCCTTCACAGTCTTTGGCCAGGGCGGAGGGGCGGGGGGTGGGGGGTGGGGGGGTGGACGACAACTTAAAGGCCAAACTGAAAAGGACAAAGCTTTGCCTGGAGTGCCCCTAGAGGCCATGAGAGGGCGCCAAAATTCTACTTTAACCAACTTTCTTCAAGTTGTCCTTTTGCCTACACACACACACACACACACACACACACTTGCACAAATAAATGTAGTTTAGATTTTTAAAAAAAGATTAATTTTAAAATAGTTTTACTGACCTTAACACAGGATAAACTGCAAATGTTTAAAGTATACAGTGCTAGACTTTGACATAATATTCACCGAGGATGTCAATCTCCAGAGAGCCAATTGTCCTAGGGATTATTTCCTCCCCTCCTTTCAAGGTACCATTGCCAGTTTCCTGTCACTATAAAGTGAGTCACCTTGTCCAGAATTTTATGTAAATGGAATCATATGTTGCAGCATCTGACATCAGTGAGAGTAAAAGAGAGATGAATTTATCAGCAGACTGAAGTCACAATAGCTCCTGGAAAGCCTCATATTAGGTTCAGTTTGTGTTTTCATTTTATATTCTAAACCCACAAGATAGGGCTAACAAGCAAGCAAAATTTTACAGAAGCATACTGTCAGCAGGTTGTTAAGGGCAGCAGTCCATTGCTGCAGCTATTTCTCCAAGTCATTATGTTCCAGGTAGCAAGTGAAGTCATTCTTGGCAAACAGGCAGTACAAGTAGTACTTTAGGAAAATCAATAAATTATTCAATAAATCAGTATCTAATAACTGGTCTGTTCTACCTTATTCTAATTCATATATACTATATATTTGTTTGCACTGTGTGAAATTAAATTCATCCACCCTACTGCATTTATCAAAATTTTTTGAGACAGGGTCTCACATTGTAGACCACAATGATCTCAAACTCAAGGGAATCTTGCTGCCTCAGACTCTGGAGTTCTGAGATTACAAATGTGAATCCCCACAGCTAATTTACATTCATCATGCTTAAACCTGGGACCAGATGTGGTAATGCATACCTTTAATCCCAGCACTCAGGAAGCAGAAGCAGAGGCAGGCAGGCAGGCAGGCAGGCAGGCAGGCAGGCAGATCTCTATAAATGTGAGGCCTGCCTCATCTACATAACACAGTTCCAGGCCAGCCAGAGCTATATAGTGACCCCCATGTCTCAAAAAATATTTCTGTAGTTTCTTTTTAAAACTATTTTTATGTTATGTTCCTTGGTGTTTTGCCTGGATGGATGTTTGTGTGAGGGTATCAGAAGACTTGAAACTGGAGTTACAGACAGGTATGAACTG